CGATAGCCTTCAAGCAACGGAACGGCCATATTCGTTACAAAAGCAATTAATTGCGCTTTTGGTTTGGTTTTGACAATTCAAACACAAACGTCGCTAATCGCATAACAAAACATATTTTGAAAATGTCTTCAACTGGCAGGCTGCTTGCTACCTTAGCTCATACTAGTTGAAAAACTAGCAGGTTTCTACCAGAATGGCTTTTCACTGCAGGGAAATAATACTAAACAAAAATTTATGTATGTTCTTGTGTGTGTATGTCTGTTAATTTCTCAAATTTGTTTAAAGTATATGTACATAGTATGTTTTACATATACATATATGTTGGATCATACTTTTGTTGTATTCGTTTAATGTTTCTATGTCTATTCACAAAAAAATTATAACAAAAGTTAAAAAAAAAATAAATTTATATAAATACTATCTTAGTCATAACTAAGTTTATAATACTTAGATAACGCTTAGTCTTTAGCCTGTATAGTTTCATTTGCATTTCATATGGCATCATTTATTTTCACCTCATTTGCCAGCTACGTTCGAGTATTATAATATGTACATATGTATGTATGTAAGTGCATTTTAAATAATTTCCATAATTTCTCAGCAATGTACACACACATTTTAAACATATACAGTTAAACGCACACTTCGACTACACGAATCCTTGTACATACATTCATACTCATACACAAGCTCATTGGTAAAGGTATGAATGTGATGCGGTTATCGGTTTGGACGCTTATTGTATGCACAGGGTACATCTAAAAATTAATTATTAATTAGTCTACTTGGGGGAAACCCTTTTCAAACTGCGGAAAAATAGAAGATTTGAACTCATCATGGTAGTTTACACAACACAAATTCAGTCGAACATCCTGTACTAGCTACTGAACTAATTGGTAAATCTACATACTTTTATATTTTTAATAAAAGTTCAATAAAGTGTGTGTCGAGAGTTCTATATTTAAAATCCTCAATGTGTATTTTTTATGAAATTGAGCTTCTAATTATGAAAAATGTGGATAGGGGGTTTTGAATATAGTAAGCCCTCGATATGAAGTCTCGCATAAAATGCGTTTTTATAGCGCCAAATAGAATTGTACAAAATTTGATTTAAATTCGTGTTCTAAAGTCCTTAGAAATTTAAAAATAAACAAATGAAACTGATGCAAAAAACAGGAGAATATCGAACAAAATTTGTTATACCTATACATACATACATATGTATGTATGTATGTAGGTATACCCCAATCTATTTAATTGCATTTTTGTTATACATATAGACCTTTTATTATATGTACATATGTACATATGTATGTACATCTACATACAGTTTATTTTCTATACACAACACATATGATGCATACCGAAATACACATATGTACATAAACATATTTAACAATTATTTTTATTGAATAAAATAATATATGCATAAATATATATAAGTGGAATTATTGCTGCATTAAAACAAAAAAAAAAAAAAACAAAAAAACGACCGGCATACAAATGCATTAGAATTAACGGAGGAAAAACAAATAGCGTCGAAAGTAAAATGAACTATTTATGTATGTAGTTAAAAGCGAAAGAAAGTATAGTATATGTATGTACGTTCATTTGTCGTCACTGTAACACTTATGTTAACATACATACAAATGCGAGCATATATTCTTTACTTACACATTTTCAGTAACTGTCTTTCGCAATTTCTGCATTTGTGATTTATTTTTGTATGATTAAAATCAAATTTTTAACAAAAACTGAATAAGCTAGAGGAAAAAAGAATTTTTTAGAAAATAAAAATAAAAATAAACAAAAACCAAAACAAAACAAAATAACGTCTCTTTTAAAATTATACTTGACTTTAGCTAGGCGACAAAAAACTTCACTAACGACATTACAAACATTGGGGTAACGGAAAAAGTTGCTGCTTTTCTAAGCGATTCATACAATTTGTTATTTTTATGGCTCCCACCAGAATATTTCGTTTTAAATCAATGTCATTGGTAAGCTGGAACTTGTTAAAATATCACTAAAATCTGTATAATCATGTACATAAGTTTTATGCCGAATCCATTCTTCAATTTTCATTTCACTGAAAACATCACTTTTCATATTATTAAGAAAAAACGTGGTAATTAAAACCAACTGGACAAAGCGAATTCATATACAACTGGAATTCAAAAATACACCCAACTGCACATTGCATTAGAAATTTAATTATTTTGTGCATGTTTGGAAACATTAATTTTGTACATCTCTTTCAATAATGAATGCTGCTTAGATTTTGCGAGGGGCTTAGATTTTGTTTAATGAATTATTAAAATTTTCAAAGGATAATCGCCATAACCACTAGGAAATAAAAAACTAGGTACTGATTTTTACAATTGCGATATTTGTCACCCGTNTAAGCGATTCATACAATTTGTTATTTTTATGGCTCCCACCCATGATTCAATTATTAAAGGTTTTGTAAGTAGCTTTTTTCTAAAATTTGGCACNGGAACTTGTTAAAATATCACTAAAATCTGTATAATCATGTACATAAGTTTTATGCCGAATCCATTCTTCAATTTTCATTTCACTGAAAACATCACTTTTCATATTATTAAGAAAAAACGTGGTAATTAAAACCAACTGGACAAAGCGAATTCATATACAACTGGAATTCAAAAATACACCCAACTGCACATTGCATTAGAAATTTAATTATTTTGTGCATGTTTGGAAACATTAATTTTGTACATCTCTTTCAATAATGAATGCTGCTTAGATTTTGCGAGGGGCTTAGATTTTGTTTAATGAATTATTAAAATTTTCAAAGGATAATCGCCATAACCACTAGGAAATAAAAAACTAGGTACTGATTTTTACAATTGCGATATTTGTCACCCGTTGTTATTACTGTTACAAGTTCTAAAAGAATTCAAGAAAGTTTAGGGCGAAGCAGTAAAAAGGTGTTCGCACGTCACGGAGGCGTGCGCGTTTTAAAAATCTTTTTGATTATAAATCAGCTTTCAATTCAGAAATCTATTCGATTTGTGATTTGGTTCATCGACAAAATAAAAATAAATTTTAATTATGATTTGATTTGTGAAAAATTGAAATTTGTGATTTGATTTCTCGACCAGATAAAAAATAAATCTTAGCTGTGAAATGTTGTCGGATTTTTCTAAGTTCGTACTTAGGTTTTATTAGAAGGTTAGCTATACTTTCATAAAAAAAAATAAAAATTATCTAAATTGCAGATAAATTGCCAAAACTCTTTAAAATGTTTGCTTGCCACCGATCGTGTTATCAGCCGTCTCGGCTATGTCAAGTGGTCACTTCGGAGCTGCGATTTGACGCCGTTAGACTTTACAGGTGGGGTACCGTAAATAACCGAATATCGAGCAAGCCTTTCATGAGATAGAGCCAAAAACCGTCACATACTGCGATGAGAAGCAAATTCTAGTGCGCCAAAAGTCAATTTAAAAATTGCCTTAAATTTTCCTGGTATTCTCTGAAATTGTTGTTAATACTTGTTTTATTCCGGAGCTCGGTTGTTTTTTTTTCAGAAATTTTTCTAGCTGCGCCGATTTAAGTTTTAATTTTTTGTGTTAGTGGTCTTGAAAGATAAAATAATAACACTAGTCATAAGAAATCTTATCCGTGGCGATTTATCATCATTTCTTATGTAAAATATTTTCCTGAATCCGAATATGAAGTCAAAATATAAAAAAGTAGAACCATTTTTGAGATAATGGATTTTTGAGATCTCGAAGAGAGCAACCTCTCTAAATTACTCTTAACATAAAAATAATCATCAAAAATGTGTTCAGTGACCCTTAATTACACTGTGCGACAATTTTATGACAATTCAAACTAGCCCGGTAGAGCATTTTAACCCATTAGCTTCCGCCTGAAAGGGCCGTTTTGTTCCTTACTTTAAGATACCCAGCAAATAGAGATTTTGGAAATTCGTTAGAGGATTTATGTATTCTAGAAAATTATTTTTTTTTACTAGGGGTTTTCCCAGGCTAAAACTTCATGCCACCAACGTAAAAGTCCCTAAAAAATTAAAATAAAAAATCAACAAAAAAACTTGTTTTTTTTTTTTAATTAAGTTTGGCTGTTATTTCTTCTTGGCATAGATTTTTTGTTTGAATTTTATAGAGACTTACGTTGGTCGCATGAAGTTTTTGTTTGAGAAGACTCCTAGTAAAATTATCCGAACAATAACTAACTAGAATATATTAATCCTCTTACGACCTTCAAAATTTGCTGTTAGCGTGGTTTCTCGAAGTAAGGGTCAAAGCGACGCTTTCAGTCGGAAGCTAATGGGTTAAAATCTACTACGAAAATATTTCCCATGCAATTTTACTACATATATATGTGTTAACCTTTAATTTCGCTCAAGCATTGATTTTAACCATTTTTGGCCTTTTTTGAAAACTACTTAAGCCGAGACATGTAAACTTTAGTAGGCCATAAAATAAAAATACGAGTGCAAATCCATCGAGTATTGTACTACTGGATGGGTATACTTTCAGCAGACTTTGGCGCGCTAGAATTGATTCAAATCCCACTGTGCGTCAAGTCTTGCATAATTTCAAAAGAAAATTCAGCCTCTAAAGTGGGATCGCCTGTTATTAGGCTAGAGACATTTCGGGCTTAGTTAAAAAAATAAAGTCATCTTTCCTTTGTTTTCTTTTGAACATTAAAGCGTTTGATCATTTTTGTTTTAAATCAAATATTTTGTTGCAATATTTTTACTCCATTTCTGCCTAAAGCCACTTATATGAAAAACAAGAAATTTTAAAGCAAAAACAAAATCGGATGTGAACCAAATTAGCATGGGACCGATTCTGAGGTACCACCTTTCTTTAAAAAAAAAAATAATGATAGAAATCAGTTAATGTGGTCTAAAGCCATGCGGTAACACACATAAAAAAAATATTCCGACGATATTGATAACCTCATCCTTTTTTGAAGTCGGTAAAAAAGAAAAACCGATACCTCTACAAACATAGTAGATTTGATCGGACCTGTATTTCGGAAGAATATAAAATGATACGATCTGTTTTATTTAAAAAATTAATATAATATTTTCGGCTATTTTCGGACACTTCACGTAAATTCATACATAAATACATATTTCATACAAAATCGCATCTTAGATATATGATGTAACATTCCTGGGCTTTAAATATACGGCTTTTTTTGCTCCTATAATTCTGTAGTCTCTAATTTACGCGCTAATATTTGAGCATTATTTGTTAATTTATCAATTTGGTTGTACACATTAAAGTGCCGGTTGAGGTCATTGGTGTGGTTGAAGAGTTTCGCAGTGCCCTTCAGCGTTTCGTGTATATCCTGCGTACCAATCGCCAGAAAATTTTCATCCAAAGAATCCTGACCGCCTTGACTGTAAAAAAAAATTAAAGAAATAATAGATTTAGGAATGTAAAATATGTACATTAGACTGCATCACCAAAAAAAAGTTGCGGCTTTTCCGCCGGGGTTACAAAATTCCATCGTTCATCAAAATATTTCGCTTTCGGTAAAATATTATTATGCAAATTTGTTAAGCTTAAACCGTTTTGTCATTTGAGGGGATTTTTTCAAAAAACTTCTTTAAGAAACTACTTTTATTCATAAAAGATTCCATTTTTGGAGGTATTTTCAAATCGGTCCAGCTCGCTTAAATCTTAATATTTTTCCGAAATATTTTGGTGGACGTCTTAAAATACAATAGATTTTATAATTCCAATGGAAAAAACAGTACCGATTTTTTTTTTTTTGGATGGGGAGTGATGCAGTCTAATGTACATACTTATGTAAGCATGCCATAGATTACCTTAAATTTTCCTCATTTCTGAACCATTCGTTTTCATAGCCTTTAAGCCATATCGGGTTTGAGCCTTGAACGCTATGTTTATTTGTATTTGGTACACGGGTGGCTGGTTCTGTGTTGCTTTGCAGCGAAAGCGAAGAGTTTCCTATGCAAAAAAAAAAATAAAATAAAAATTAGCAGATTGCGTTTTTTGCTTGCTCCAAGTAAACTTACTGAAAATATTAACTTTGGCGGCGCGCAACTGTCTCTTATAACCCTTTCGTTGCGACACACACAGGCCCAAGGTTACCACTAACAATGTCGTCATAAACAGATTAGTGAATATTAANCAGCGAAGAGTTTCCTATGCAAAAACAAAAAAAAATAAAAATTAGCAGATTGCGTTTTTTGCTTGTTCCAAGTAAACTTACTGAAAATATTCACTTTGGCGGCGCGCAACTGTCTCTTATAACCCTTTCGTTGCGACACACACAGACCCAAGGTTACCACTAACAATGTCGTCATAAACAGATTAGTGAATATTAACCAAACGNGTAAGCATGCCTTAGATTACCTTAAATTTTCCTCATTTCTGAACCATTCGTTTTCATAGCCTNAGCATGCCATAGATTACCTTAAATTTTCCTCATTTCTGAACCATTCGTTTTCATAGCCTTTAAGCCATATCGGGTTTGAGCCTTGAACGCTATGTTTATTTGTATTTGGTACACGGGTGGCTGGTTCTGTGTTGCTTTGCAGCGAAAGCGAAGAGTTTCCTATGCAAAAAAAAAAATAAAATAAAAATTAGCAGATTGCGTTTTTTGCTTGCTCCAAGTAAACTTACTGAAAATATTAACTTTGGCGGCGCGCAACTGTCTCTTATAACCCTTTCGTTGCGACACACACAGGCCCAAGGTTACCACTAACAATGTCGTCATAAACAGATTAGTGAATATTAACCAAACGAACATGGGCTTCGGTGGTCCAGCTACCAGTAGTTCCGCTTCCGCTGCCTGTGTATCCAATACGTTGAGCTCCTTGAATAGATCATCCAATTGCTCGATGTGCTGATCGATTAGCTTTAGCACCTCAGGCACTTCTAAAATAGAATTATCCTCTCGCTCTACCAAATGCATATAAAGATCGGTTTTTGTTTTATCAACAGAGCCATCTTTGTTTTCATGCACTTTAATTTCATCTATATTGACAATTGCGCCCGTGACATTGCTGAGTGTATCCCTAAATGTGCTGATTTTGAGACGCAACTCATCCGGCTGCAGTCGGAAAACGAACTTTACCTTCTGATCTTCCCTTAGTAAATAGATGAACACATGCGCCACATCCTTCATACCTAAAGTATCGTTTGCCAAAACCATGAAATCAAAATATCCTTTCATACTTTTTTGTGGATCGAAATTTAATTGCACATCGCCCGTGTCGCGTTCCACAAGAAATGGTGATTTTCTAACATTTTCCAAACCCTCTGATAATGTTTGCCTAATCTCGCCGACCATATAATAAAAAATCTTAGCATTGAAACCCTCATCCGGATCTAAAGCTTCGATACGCATAAATTTCGTGCCAAAATCAGCATTTGTCGTTATACCACCGGTGAACACTTTCGTGCGAAAATGTGGTGGATTATCGTTGATGTCCAAGACGCGTACACGTACGCGTACCACAGTACTATCGTATAGTAGCAGCTCCTCGCTTGTCAATGGGTTGTCTGAGTCAGCGAATTCATATGATTCCTGCTCTGTGGACGTCTCGTCATCTTCGTTAATCGAACGCAAATTGCGCGAATGCTTGTAGCGATCGAAATGATCGGAATTGCGTAGAAAACCGCCTTGCTTTCGCCCTAAGCTCGAGAGTTCTGGCCGTAAAGCCGTCGTAATACCAACAATATTATCTGAACGACGGGTTGCGGAAATTTGTTTGGATACGTATGCGAGTTTTTCGTTAGCGCAATTCTCTGTAGCCCTCACGAAGAGAGTATAGTTGGCAATTACTTCACGATCCAGTTCTTTCTCCACACTGAGTATATGTGTTTCGGGATCTAATTTAAAATAGCCCTGCTCATTTCCTTTCACAATAAAATAGCAAACTGAGCTGGGCGGATCGTCGAGATCATCTACCTCGTCCTTATCGATTGTGTCGGGTAGTTTGACACGCTCCGAGCCAGGATCGGCATGCTCTATAGAGGTTAATTGAAATAAGCACTATGAATTCTAAAAATAACGTGTACATATTGAAAAATATTGATTTACAAACCTGTAAAGTTAACGTGTATTTCTTCAACCACAAATTGCGGTTCGTATTCGTTTACATTCCGTATGTAGATCGTTAAATCTAGATCGGTACTCAAAGAGGTAGGCAGTCCCTGATCATATGCTTCGATTCTTATCTGCAAATGAGAATATGCAAAGTAAATTTATTCAGTGTAGAAGAAAATGTGTACACATCTGGATTAGTTAGTAAGGAGCTGTTGACTATGCTCTAATTTTTTATAAAAAGAGCCAGAGTTTTAAAATTTGGCGTATGATAAATGTATGCACGGGGGTAAAATGGGTCATAGTCGTTCTCCTAAGCATGCAGTTACAGTTGCACGGATATACTCAATCTCGACTCTTGTGTTCCAAGTACGAGATGCGATAACCAAATCGAGTGGAGTCTTGGGTCCCGACAGAAAGAGAGAGAGCTTCGGTGTGCCCACCTCGACTTATTCACTTAAATCTGTAGCGTCTGCTTACCAGATGGAAAGAACTACGATTTGAGGGGATGTACCTGGAATGTCCGGATCTTTAATGAAGAAGGTGGCTCTGCCCGGCAGGTTGATGTCATCACCGGCTGACATCACTGCAATCCAATAAATGCGTTGGACGGGGCAAGGCAAAAAATGCCTGGGCCTTGCGACGTCCACTTAAGCTGCCGTATAAAGGAGCGCAAAATCCGTGTGGGACTTGGGATGGTAAAGAGACTCCGTCGCCGAGTACTGTCGCTCATCCCGGAGGACGAGCGTATAGCCACAATCCGTAGCAAAGTGAGAGTCTTCACCATCTCGCTCATTTTCGCCTACGCCCTACGGAAGGGAAGTACGAAGAATCCGAGGATCTCTTTTATGAGCGCTTGGAGCGCACATAGGGGTGCTGCCCCCGTCGCGATATAAAAAACGTACTAGGCGATTTCAATGCCAAGGTGGGCTAGGAATAGATTTTTGGTCCCACTGTCGGAAAACTCAGCCTACGCGACGAAACTTCCAATAACGGACTGATGCTGATCGACTTCGCCAAGGCCCGAAATATTGCAGTGTGCAATATACATAAGGTTCAAGCATAAAAAGATCATGTTGTGATAAACGGTAGGGAGCTGTCGCAATAAGACGGGATATACCGAAATACGTGAATGCGAAGAGCTTGAAATGCTGGCCGACAGGAAAAACCCCCGAAAATTTTACGAACGAGTTGGGCGACTTACGGAAGCTTTCGAGGCCAGGACAGACACTTGCAAAATTATCTAGGGCTACCTAGTGATGGAGGGAACACTATTCACCCTGCTGTTGGAGTTGAAACTGATTTGCCCACACTCACGTACGTTAACGTGTCAGCTGAACACGATCAAATTTATGAGAGCGCCATGTAAATGGAAACTCACCACCGTGTACGTGCGACGGTTACGCGTGCTTCTCTCTCTCTTTCTATCAACAGTAAATTTTATAGGTTGCTACGTCAAACAGACACGGCATACGTACACGTCGGTGAGTGTGGGCACCTTTAACTACACGTATAAGGATTGCCACCCCTTTACAAAATTAAATTCAATTAATTAATTGGGTAACTGAAATATGTATAATAACATGGGAGTGAGACCAAAGAACAAATTTAGCAAAAAATAAGTGAAGAATAAACACATTTCTGAAACCTTAAAGTTAATTTAAGGAGCAAGAAAACATGTCACCCATTGGCAATGTATGTATTTGCATACTGTAATAAAATAACAAATACGATGCCGTAACCCTTTCGTTTGATAGAAATATTTTAATTTTTCGTATATACACAATTTGTATAATTTAATTAGATACGATTTGAAAACAGGTGGCGACCCTCTTCAAAATATTTGCAAGCTCATAGCTTAAACCTCTTTCGTCTGACTTCCATATACATACATACATATATGGTGATACATATTTCAGTTACCTAATTCCCCATTCTTTGAATAATTCATTTAACTTATTAAATAATTTGAATTAAATTTTTGAACAGGTGGTAATTCTTTTCAAAAACCTAGGCCTTTATTACACATTTAAAAGACAGGGCAAATTTTTATTTTATTTTTAAACAGATAAAGAACCATACTTCTGATTAATGGAACGACAAAGCATTTTTTACTTGATTTTAAGATTTACTCCTTTAAACTTTAATAATGTTTTTTTTTTTATTTTCAACAAAATAAAATTGCATTTAAAATATAGCGAGTCTAAACTACAGCATTCAAATTTTTTAATAAATTATTTTTTTTTTGCAATTATATTAAGCAATTTTACACGGAAAAATTACAAATTTAGCTTTATATCTATTAAGTTGAATTTTTGACAATTTTTTCCGTGTAAAGCCTAAAACTGATGTGACGCTGAAGGGTATAGTTTTTTTGTGTGTTATTCATTTTATACAAAATTTGGGACCGGAGCCTTGCTAATGGATAAATAACCTTTCCAACAAAACCAATTACGTCTATATTTGGGACAACAAAATATTTGATTTTTGCCCGCTCGCACAGCACTTTGCGTCTGTTTAAACAATGAAAAATAATTAAACTATGGAATTAATGTAATCCAGATTTTGTAATAGCCTATGTAAAATTAAAGTTGAATGCGAATACTAAACTAAACTAAACCCTCAAGAAAATTAGGTTTGATGAAATGGCAAAAGATTTGCAAAGTATTACAATTCGGTCGTTAAAGTAAAATTCGGAATTATTTTTGGGTAGGGTAGCCATTATAAAATAACTTATGTAGCTTCCCCGCTTGAAGCGAGCTGAAGCAATGAAATGTTCGAAATGAGCAGTATAATAGTTGCTATATTAAAAAAATTCTAAAAACGATAGACAATCTGCAGCGCTCTAACCTCATGTAGCTTCTGTTTCTCGCGATTTAATTTCTCCTTCAAAAATAATTGTCCAGTCTCACTGTCGATCTGAAATATCTTATAGCTGCCCAGTGGATCCGGTTTCAAGCGATAATGCACCAAAGCATTTACGCCGATATCCTCATCGGTGGCCAGCACTTGCAGCAGCTCTGTGCCCACGGTTGTATTTTCGGGTATACGTAGCGTAGTGTTATGTAATGGCGTAACAAAAACTGGTGGATGATCATTAAAATCCGATACACAAATATCAAAAGTTTTGGTAACAACATTCGATGGTACACCTAGATCACGCGTGGCTATGGTTAGTGTGTGATTACCGAACTTGTTGCGCAAATGTGTGCGAGCGTAAATATTTGCAGTCCATTCGTCGATTTGGCGTAACTCGAATAGATCTGAAATAAATTGAAGAACACTCCAATTGCCTCTATGCAATTTATTTACTCACCATATCTATTGCCTTTTGCTATTTGAAATTCTAAACGACCATTTGGCGATTCCGGATCATCGGCATCTTTGCCACGAATAGTTGTAATTTTCTCATTCAACTCGTGGTATTCGGTAATCAGCACACAACTTGTGGGCAGAAAAACCTCGGGTGCATTATCATTTTCGTCCAGTATGGTTATGCTGAAAGTGTATAAAAGTTTATTACATACATACATACATACATATACATATATGCACCAGAGTATTTCAATAATTTGCTTACAATATTTGCTTGAAGGCATTACGACTCTCGCCTGCCAAGAAACCAAACTGGTAGTTGTCCCAAGCCTCGATCACTAGCATGTAAAAATCTTTCGTTTCCCGATCTAATCTATCGGCGACAGAGAGCACGCCAGTGTCTGCGTCAATTGAGAATTTTCCCTACAAATTCCCAATCCACAATGCAATGAATATTATATCAGCTCTACCCCAAGAATGATAGAATACAAGATTGCGCCGATCGGAGAGGATTTTTGAGAATAACTTGTGTGTGACGTCACACTGGTGCAATTGCGAGAGAGAAATGCCAAAACGCGAGCAAGAATGGAAGAAGAAGAAAAAATGTTGCAAGGAAAATGTAAACAAGTTGCACCAGTGTGACGTCATGCAAACAACGATTCTGTCAAATTCGTTAAGAGAGGAATAGCGGTCCGAGATCGGCGCAACCTTTGTATTCTCTCAATCGTGAGCTCTACCCCAAATATCACTCACCTGCGAACTAATGCGATCCATTAGAAATGTGATTTTGCCAAAATCTCCCGAATCAGCATCGGTTGCCTGTACGGTGCCAATTCGTGCGCCAATTTCAGCATTTTCACTAATTGAATAGTTCTTGGTACCACCGATAAAATACGGATTATTGTCATTCTCGTCTAAAACCGACACATAAACATCGACGAGCGCGGATCGTGGCGGTATACCCGAATCAGTTGCACGCACCGTCAAATTCAACCACTGATATTGCTCGTGATCGATTTTATTTGCAACCACCATTTCACCCGTTTGTGGGTCGAGATGTACTAGATTTCTTACAGCGGGATTACCCTCCAACGAATATGTGATGGTTTTATTTTTATCCAAATCATAGGCAAGTATATTCGCAATTAATACACCGTTAATGCTATTCTCAGTGATCGTTTTGCGATAGAACGGCTGCTTGAACTTCGGATTATTGTCGTTTTCATCTTCGATTATTATATTTAGAATGGCTGCGAGAAGAAATGTATTGTAAGAACATAGTAAAGAATTAGGGAATTCACAGGACGTGTTTTTTCTTATGTAAAATAACGGCTAAAATGGTTTCAGCGGCGCTAATTTATATATTTTTTATCAGTTTAAAAACATTTCGGTGTAGTTAGAAATCCTCTCAAGCCATTAATTAATCGTTATTTTACATTAAAATGCTAAGCTTAAGATTTGACGACGGTTAACACGTCTTGTGAATCCCCTAAATTTATTTAAATTTCTAAAGTTAAGGTTAGGCGAATATTCTCATTTTGGTTGCTGGAGTTTCCGGCCGATTTTCGGTGATACCTTGTCAAATTTGATTTGGCGACAAACCGGTTTCGGCGTTGTGCCATTTTCGTAGAAATATTTTTTAAATACTCTCATTTTCAATTGCAAATCATGAAGATATAAGTAAAAATTATCAATAGACTGCGGATGTTTATGCAGAAAACGAAGTCTAAAAATATGTACCACTTAACTATAAGCAAAATTTACTATAAATTTGTATACATTTCTTATAGCTACATGGTACATATTTTTAGGCTTTTTCTTCTGCATAAACATCTGCGGTCTAATGACCAATAATGTGAAATGAAAATGACACTGAAGATTGCACAACGCCGAAACCGGTTTGTCTCTAAACCAAATTTGACATTGGATGAGGGAAAACCTTTCCACAATACATTACGCGATTACCTTCAGCGACTTGTTTTCCTTTCACTGCAGCTAAATCTTCCGCGCTTATGGCCAGCTTTAAATACTCGATCTTCTCGCGATCCAGGAGTTTGAGAAGCTATTGTAAAAAATTCCTTAATTGTAGCAAATATTTCGCAAATAGATTTGCAAGAACTTACTTTTATCGTTCCTTCGATGGGATCTAAATCGAAGGCGTTTAAAAAATCAAATTCGGTCAGTTTGACGAAAGTGCCTTCTTCATTACGCGCTTCACAATTGTCACGATTTATGCGGTAACGAATGATTGGTGATTCGTCAAGATCCGTAGCTCTTACGCGATACACTTGTGTGCCCACAATCGTATTTTCCATGATGCGTATGGTAGGAAGCTCTCCCAAAACAGGCGGTTTATTATTCACATCCTTTATGGTTATATTAACCGTTGCAGAGTTCATGAGTTGTGAATTGCCTATACCCCCATCCAAAGCGAGCTGAAAGCCAAATATATAGTTCAGTATATTACATGCCATTACCCACTTTCATATTCAAAGATTTCATCTTACCACAGTCAGGGTGTATACGAGCTTCTTTGGCTCCGTCAGATCTGGATCCAGGTTCGCGCCATGTGCCACCGATATTACACCCGATTCTGAATTGATGACAAATTTATCACTCGCACCCATTTGTATGCGGTATACAACGACATTGTTCGGCGCCGATCCGTCACGGTCGATAGCCATCACCTGTAATATCGAACTACCGCCGGGTAGGTCTTCTGGTATAGTTTTGGCGTAGAAATTCTTTTGAAATATGGGCATATTGTCGTTTACATCTTCGACATATATGAGCACCGGCACCACAGTAGAGAGCATCGGTATGCCTGAATCTCGCGCCCGTACCAACAAATCGATCTCGCGTATGCCATTATCGGCACGTCGCCGTATACGACCTCTATTCTCTAACAACTCTTCATAATCGAACGAATGCAATGGCCGTAGCAGACCACGTCCGGGGTCTATAGTGAAATTTTCACGATAGAGACCTTCTACAATCTCGTAAGTGATCTGACTATTCTCGGTGCCATTGAGATCTATGTCGCGCGCCTCGACAAGTAGTGGAGTTTCGAATTCGCGCTTATTCTCTAGCAATTTTGCCTCGTAGTGACGTTGTACAAAGATTGGCGCATTGTCATTGACATCCTCAATATTGACTAGGATCTGTGCGGTGTTGCGGTTCCCAATGCCAACATTATCGATAGCTTCGACGGTAAGGTAATGAAGTGAATTGATCTCGCGATCGAATGCGGAGTCACCGGGCTGTTTAATGGTAATAACGCCCGTTATTGGATTAAGATGTAATCTAGAAAAATTATTCGAGTTTCACAAATTGTTGGTCGAAGTTCAATTAATGACTTACAAATGTGCTATGCCTCCTCGCAGATTGTGAAATCGTATGCCCATAGTGCCGAAATCGCCTGAATCTATATCTGTTGCTTCTATTTTGGCAACTATCGCGCCCAGGTCACTATTCTCCGGTATACTGGTGTTGTAGATTGACTGTGTGAATTCGGGGAAGTTGTCGTTCTGATCGCGAATATAAACTTGAAGGTGCGCCGAGCTGTCAATGTACATATAGCACAAATGAATAAATATTTACGATACTAATTTGAGAAAATTGGTTTACCTCCACCTATCCGGCTCATCGATTTCTCTCGCAAAAAGCGTGAAATTAATCTCTTTCATTTCTTCGTAATCGATCGACTTCGCGTTCTTCACTCTCACCATAAAGTTTACCTCATTCACTGCCACAGCCGGCACAATTTCGAAGACATCATTTGGTGGATCCAAAAACAAACGAAATGTACCATTGCTGCCAATGTCATGATCTTCGACGAAATTCTGTACATCATCGTCAATAAAACTCAATGGTGTATTGCTTTGGGAATTCTCATTCACCTCACAGCGGTAAATTGGTTGTCTGAATGTTGGTATTTCATCATTTACGTCCGTCACGATCACGGTCACTTCCGTTTTGACCTGCATCACCTCTTCCGATGCACTCATTTGAGACTACAAAAAAAAAAAATGTAACAAGCGATTTGTACACAATATTTAATTGGTCAGTGATCAATGTCATGGTCGGTGGTTTTTAACACAACCACCCTCATACGCACATGTGGCACCTCGGTGGCTGTTATTTTCAAAATATACGCCCCATTTACTTGCTTGTTGCTATCCTCACGATCGAGTTGCTGCGCCGTATAAACTACGCCCGTATGCCGATCAATATCGAACAACTCCGTTAATTCCAAGTCATATTCAATTGGATTGTTGATGCCACGATCGCCATCAATGGCACGTACACGCAGCACGCGCGTACCAATCTCTGCATCCTCAGGTATGCGCGTTACAGCTTGTACTTCAACAAACTCTGGCGGTTGATCACCTACATCGCCTACTTTGACTAGAATGGCAGCAGTGCCTGTATTGATAGGTCCCTGATGGGCTCGGTCTACGGCTAAAACACGCAATTGATATAAACTTTTAGTTTCGTAATCCAACTCGCCCATCAATCGGAGTACACCCTTGCCCTGGTACGTTGAAATGGAGAACATGTCGTTGTCACCATCCAATTCCTGAAGATAGTAGACTACTTGTCCATAGGCACCTTCGTCTTCATCCGTTGCCTCTAGCGTTGTTATAATACCAGGATCACTGTTTTCGGGTATTTCGATGGCGCTTTGATAGGGTAAAAATATGGGTGCATTATCGTTAATGTCCTCTACGAGCAGCAGAAAACTTTGCGTTACATAATTGTAGTCGTTGTAATGGTTATCGGTTAGCGTTAAAACTATGGAATATTCGTCTTTTAACTGTGGAAAAATAATAAAAGGTCGTCAGCTGAAATTAAGGCCGGCGAGAGCTCTAATATGGATATACATACCTCTCTATCTAATTCTTTGGCCAAGTAGACATTAGCCTCATTGCCTCCTGTGTTTTCGATGCGTATGATTTCGCTATCATGCGATGGGCGTTTACCAAATACCAAGGGATCATTATCGGGATCGAAACCTTTAAGTGTGTATATCTGGGAGCCTAAGGAAGTCAAAATTATATTTGTGTAAAAGGTATTCACTTCTAAAATTATAATATACTATACAGAGGTCTTAGCAACAGCGAAATTTCAAAATTATCAGCAATTTGTTTTGTTGTTGAATATAATTATCAGCAATGTTTTTATTTATTTTTTATAGCTAAACTAAGTTAATAGTAAAAAAAAAATTTTTAAAGCAAACTTTCTAAATATGGACAAAGTGGGACCATAAATACTGGTTTACCGAATATCTCGACTTCTACGCCTCCCAACGGCAAAATTTTTTGTGGAGTTATTCCTTTTAATGAAATTAATACACGTTCTGAATCAAATCGTAATATAAGTAAGGGTTTTTTAAATATCTGGACTCCTGCGCCACCTATCGGATTAATTCATCTTTCGTATTGCGTTGCCATCGGGTTATGAGCCAATTGTGAAGTTTCAAGTCTCTAGGTTATCGGTAAGTTGGTCAAGATGATTTGTCCCATTCATTCATTAAAAAAAAATAGTATATACTAGATTTTACCCAAATAGGACAAGGGATTAAAAATGATAATTTAGGAATTAAAATAATCTGAGCCTACATAATACTCAAATGGCATGTAATCAATATATTCGTACAGTTTCGATGCTAGAAAATTATATTGGCCTCGACAGGAAAGAACTCATTTTCTTACGTCTTACAAATGTCCTAGCGTGGTGAGATTCATGGTGGATCTTTATGCAAAACGCTAAAATTTGAGTCTTATTGCGGTCGCATTGGAGGATTCTTATTGTTTTTTTTACGTGGTCTAACGAACATAGAGAGCAAGTTAAATAAAAGCTTGTAAAAGTAGGCAAATACTGATTTTAGATTGAAGTTGTTCACACTTACCTGGTTATCAGCTTATGTGGTTATATTTTTTATTAAGTTTACAACAATAAAATACATAAGCGTGAACAACCGCATTGATTTTTTGTTAAAACTTACCGACGACAGTCTCTGGACTCTCCTTCAGTCGCAAAACAATTTCGGATTGACCACCGTCGATGGCGAATCGTGGCGGGCGATTGCTGCTCACCGGCTGTAGTAGTGTAAAAAATATCAGCGCGACTGTATTCGCACAGCAAGCCAACCACTTTCTTTTCGATTTTAAGCGTACTTTTTTGTATTTTCTTCTTATTTTTGGTAATCGGTTAGCGATTGGCTGAGGATTATGTACATTTAAAATTCGCTGGCGGCTTGGCAACACTATTTCGTTGTTCATGTTCTTTTCGAGAGTATTTTTGGTTTCTGGAGGAATTTCATTGTCAATGCACCCTCGACATGCGGTTTTAAATACATATGTATTGGTATGAGACCTGAAAAATATGAAAATACAAAAATTTTCCACATTAAAGTACAGTCACACCAGTTGCTAAAATGCCTAAACTCTCAAAATTTCTTTCAATGTTAATAGTTTTTCTATTTAAGGATACAAATTTTAAAATAACCAGTTTCAGCGACGAGTCAATGGGCATCATGCATAAAAATTGAGCTTAATCTATGACTCGATTTTCAATGGAAATTCTAGAGCTTGATCACACTTCCTAAGTGCAAAAATTGAGTCTGAGCTTAAGCTCAGTTTTTATGCATGCGACCTAACTTGTCATACCACCCGTACCGGTGAAAGATAAGTTGCATACAGATCACGAGGCACACCACCAACCATGGAATATCTCTGGTAAGTGAAGATCAAATATTATTTAGAGAGCAAAAGGTGCGAAAAACAACAATGCAGGTAGGAAGGGGTATAAGAAAAAAAGCTTAGGATAACTAACACTTCGGAAAGCCCAAGGTTTATAAAACCGAAACGCAAATTCTGGTCAACAAAGCGGCATTCGTAGAAGCTGAAAAACCTCCAGGCGACCGAAAGTCAAATTCTTTTACTACATTGAGAAAAGAGTTTGGTTAAGTCAGCAAAATATACATTTTTCAGTTCATCTATTCTAAACATGTTCTTAAAAAAAAAATTCACGAAAATTTAATTTTGAAATTTAAATCGTAAAACACTCGTATTCTGGAAAAGCAGTACACAATGGGGCTTTATTACACCGTGTGACAGTGAGAACGCAAGTGTGATGGACAAAGATTAGTCTCAATTATATGGATTAAAATTTATCACAAAAATAAATATTATTTTTGATCCAAGAAATAAGTGTCTTCGTAATAGATCAAAATATGCATTACTTTCGGCCTCTGAGTAATATAAGAATAATATTTTTGGAGCTTACACATTTTTTAAATGCATGGTGGCTTCTTATTGAAACCAATTTTAGGTCTTTCAGTTAGCAAAAAAAATAAATTTAATTGATCACCTCATCATAGAAGAAACCCGTTCAAAGTACAAATGCGAGTATCAAAAATTTACCAAAATTTTCTAAATATGTTCCAGTTTTTTTTTATATGTAGTTAGTAATTAAGAGTACATACATATATTCATATATATATATATATAGTAATTCAAGATGGCATGATGCTTAGCTCAACCTTACATCTGTTGCGCTTCAGAAAGTCTTAAGTAAAAAAAAAGAAACAAAAAGTTGCGTTGTAGCTACAATTAAGTCACATCTGCATGAAAATGTCAAGTACAAAATACTGACATTTGTTCCATACATAGAGCGGTTTCAAGCTAATTATTTAATAAAAAAATTTCGATCACACACACGTAAACTCACAATTATGCCTATCTATGCAGGTGTACAATATATAAAGGTATATACATACATACATATATGTAAGTCTGCATTGAGATCATTGGGCATACATATGTACATATAAAGACAAAGTTAAACAAATTTTCTTACAACTGCAAGAATATATATATTTTTTATAATAATATCAGTAAGTACATATTCGTACTTGATTTGCGTACATTTTCAATTACAGCGCATGCGCGCACCAATCACTGGTCAGGGGGAATTGTTCATAGAGCATGCCCAAAGCTACTGATGTTTTCCACATAAACAATTGAATGTGATCGTTTGTACATATGCACCTACACATATGTAACTACAAATGGCTTCTTTTCTTATTTTTGTTTTTTTTTGCTTAAGCTAATTGCGAGAAGCACATATCAGCAATTAAAGTTGAAATTAAATTGTAGCTACTTTAGTTAACCAATTTAGTTTAATCTCATTGAAAGAAAATGCTTGCAGTTACCGGAACATGGCCAATAAAAAGTACCTACATTTATACTTACTTATAAATTTATGGCCTTTCCAGCACAGATGAAACTTTCCACGCAAATGGTATGACACACAATGAACGCCAAGAAAACAATTTGTTTCGCTTTTTTATTCGTCAAAGTTGTTGTTTTTGCTTAAAAATTACTTGTATATATTTAACTTTAAAAATATCAGCAATGTAATAAAATTTAATCCCCGCAGAAAAAAAATTATCAATTGATTAAAATAACCAACTTATAGTTAGCTTTTTTGCGGGATTTCGATAAATAACCAATTTTTAATTAGCTATGACAAAACTAACTTTAAATTAGTTGTAAAGTCGGGCAGCAGTCATGCAGACGTTATCGGGAGTTTGTTTTCTTTACAAGTTTCCATTTAAATATCCTCCTACAAAAAATACTTTCAATACACTTTTTTTCTGCACTTCGCAGATTCTTTTTCGAATTGAGGACAAATCAAATAAAGATCGACTTTTACATTATTATTTTGATGTTATGTCTGATGTAATTTTAAATAAAACTGTTAAAAATATATATAAAAAAATATAAAAAATAGAAAAAAAAATTTTATTGATAGTTTATGAAAAATTGTATTCAATTAAATTGATAAAATAAATGAAGTATTAAAAAAAAAAACGGGTATCGAACAGCACACATATACGTTTAAGGCGCAGTGAAGCACGCCTAGCTAGTTATATATAAAAAAATCAAATTTCTTTTAATCCTCTGTGCCAAATAAATATAAAAACTTAACACTTACCAGGCGCGCATGCGCATTTTAAGTTTGAATGCAAACTAGATATGAGCATACATACTAGGGATGTTTCGAATGCCATTATTTTCACATTCGCGAATGCGAATGTTCGGAATAACATTGAAAAAGCTGTAATCAACTTAAGTCATCGTTTTTATTACTTAAAAATTTTGTAAATTATTAGAACATTGAACGAGTGCTTAATGTATGCAATGTTTAAATCTAGTAGTCAAAGTTCAAAAGTGGCATATTATATTTAAAAAAAAAGTAATTTTGCTGCCTTTTCTTCCATGATGCGATATTTTAGTGGCTCGTATATAAGGCCGTCTACACTGTGTAAAATGATGCGAATCATTCGCATAACGAATACGAATGCAAATATTCGCAACAGCCCTGATACATACATATGTATATGTATGCTGTGTGTATTTTACGTGCCTCTGAGTACATACACATGCATATTGTAGTAGTTGACTTGAGAAAATTTTAGCGAATTACTGCAAGTGCAATCATTCATTGCATATTTATGTACTTTTTCATGTAAACGTACAAATATATTTACATACATAGCGTGCGCATCACAGGTCGCATTGTCTAAGCGTCAACAGATTTCGATTGTGCACTCACTGATCTGCTTACTCCGATATTATGACATCAAGTGCAATTCATCTTCAGCTAGACTAATAACCACACAAATGTACAAATTTCATGCATGAACTTACGATGCACAATGGGATTAGAGTGGCCAAATATTGTAAAAACGGAGTAGAGCGAATCCTGAAAAAGCAACTACGCATATGCTTAGCAAAATATGAAACTATTCCAAATTAAAAATAATTTCCAATACAAATGCATATTTGCAGGCATGAGACGAGTTTAAAGTAGATACTTATACAAGTTATTTAAATTCATTTTTCTACTAAATCGGTTTTCGAGTTATTCGAGAAATGGCAATTTGAAATAAACCGGTTTCTCATCTTCAAATTAAGAAAAAAACAGATAACCTGGTTTTATTTTACATATTTTCTCTGTAGTTTTACTTACTGTTAGTCCGAAATAATGACCAAAGCAACCATATCTATAACTGCTTAAAATAGGTATAGCTTTATATAGAAACACCGTGCGACAGTCAATTTTACACACACACACAAATTAATATATTCGCGAAACTAGGGCCAAAAGTAGTAAAACTCGGTTTTTAGTTTTTCTCTCTGACGCAGGAATTTTTTTAAAAAACTTTCAAATTAGAAAGATATGATTAATTCAAAAAAATTGATGGTCCGATGTGATTCATATTTGAAATGTAGAAAAGGTATAACTCCACAAACCATTTTACCGTTAGGTGGTGTGATGGTCCATCTTTCTTTGTTTTATTAACCTTTATTGGGGTCTTTAAGCGTTGTTTTATTTAAATTACTCGTTTTTAAGTAATTTTCTGCTGCTAAAAATTTTCAAGTATTCATATATAAAATTAATAACTCTGTTCTACGAAGTCCCATATTTAATAAAATAAATATTTGGAATTTTAGGTGCTGTTCTCGGAATTCCAAAAAAAATAAAATAGATTAAAAAAAACCATCTAAAATATAAAAAAAAACGGTTGAAACCGGTTTGGAAAAACTGAGTCAATCACCCTAATAATATGCCAATGTGATCCACTTTTTTTATATAACTGCATCCATTTTTTAGAGTTGTTGGTCGCAAATATTAATTGACTTGGACGTTCTTTCAGACTAATGCTATTCTGGCTAAAATATTATCAAAAGCGGATAACATTTGCCATTTCCGCCCACAAGAGCTGCGGGGTTGCAGTTCGTCGACTTTAAGCATTTTCCAGTTTTTTTTTCATTCTTAAGAGCGATTACTATTTTTGTCCGGAGCTTATATGCCACTGTGGCTAGAAATGTTACCCCCGGGATCCCGGCCTTTTTGAAGTTCCAAAAATCCCGGCATTCTTAGCAAATTATCCCGGGATTTTCAGGACTTGTAATTTGCACTGATGGCAATGATGGGAACTCTTTTTCTTGACCAGTATTGGCTATATTTCTTTTTTTATTTAATAATTAATATTTTATATAAATAGAATGGCTGCGTTTCTTTATACATTCCGGATAATCCCATTTCACAGCCGGAATAAACAGAATGCTTTTGAAATATACGTTAACATATCATCAGGAACGTTCTAAAGAATAAGTAAACAAAAAAGTTTATTCCAAACGTTCAGAATGAATAAAGAAATTCAGCCAATATAATAACAACCAAATTTTACAGGAGGGCGTTTTTTACACTTTTCAATTTTTTTTTATAATTTTTGGTTTTTTTTTTTTTGCTAAGTACAAAATACTTTTATATGGCACAGCAATGGTTTTATCTGCAAGAAA